TTTATTACGATTCCAAAGAAAGCTACACCAAAAACATGTGCAGATTTTAGGACAGTCAGCTTAATGAGTCATGTGTTAAAGATATTCCTTCGAATTATACATAATAGAATTTATCCAAAGGGCTTAGGTTTTCGCAAAGGGCTTGGTACTAGAGAAGCCTTGTATGGAATACGAGTTCTAGAACGTTGTCGTGAGTTTAATAGAGATGTCTTTTTATGTTTTATTGATTTCGAAAAAGCTTTCGACACTGTCGAACATGGCAAACTCATAGAAATTCTGAAACATTGCAGATTAGATGAAAAGGATATTCGAATAATAACAAACTTATACTGGAAATAGTGCGCAAATGTTTCAATTGATAAATACTTCACGCAAGAAGTAGAAATAAAGCACGGGGTTCGACAAGGGTGCATTCTGTCACCATTACTGTTCAATATATACTCGGAGACTACTTTCAAAGAAGCACTACACGATGCGACAGATGGAATTATGGTTAACGGGGCACTTATAAACAATTTGAGGTACGCCGATGATACAGTGCTTATTGCCGATTCAATAGAGGGCTTACAGAACCTGTTAGACGTTGTTGCATTAAAGTGCAGAGAATACAGCCTAAAATTAAATTGCAGTAAAATCCAATATTTGGTGGTAAGCAAACGTCCTATTCCTGGAGGAAGACTGACAGTATTTGGTTCAGCCATAAAAAGAACCGATAAGAACAACTACTTGGGATGTCAGCTTAATGAGCAATGGGATAATATTAAAGAAATACGTATCCGAATTGAAAAAGCAAGGTCGTCTTTTATCAGAATGAAAAACTTGCTGTGCACACGAGAGCTTTCATTACCGCTCAGAATAAGAATGCTGCGATTCTATATATTCTCTATACTCCTCTCCGGGACAGAGACGTGGACGCTGTCTGTTGCATCGATGAATAAACTCGAGGCTTTTGAAATGTGGTGCTATCGACGTATGCTGAAAATAAGCTGGACAGAAAAAATTACAGTGGTACTTCGGCGTGTCAACAAAGAAACAGAAATATTAGAGACAGTAAAACGCCGTATGTTAGAGTTTTTTGGTAATATTCTGAGGCATCCATAAAAGTACGGACTACTGAAATGAATAATTGAAGGCAGAATTCAAGGTAGACGTGGCACTGGAAGACGAAAAATATCATGGCTTAAAAATTTACGTCAATGGTTTAATAAAAGTACAAGATCACTTTTTCGAGAGGCTGTAGATAAAGTCAAAATAGCAATCATATTAGCCAACGTTCAAAGCGGACAAGGCACCTAGAAGAAGAAGAAGTTTTCTATATTTCTGCTATATTTTGTTCGTGGGCCACCAATAAGTGCCTCAATATGAATGCGTACTTTGTAATGTAATAGTGAGTGGGCCTATACTACCTCAACAGTCAGGTCAAAGGGTATATGGCCAATCTATTTCAAATGCAGAACCCCTTACTTGATGCACAGAAGTAAGTCATAGGTATCTAGGTTAATATCTGTCTTTACAGAGCACATGACCATAGGATGGAATGGAGCTAGGCTCTGTCTATACTGTGGTATCACCTGCAACGCGTGTGTGCCGAATCACGAAGAAAGGACACCCGAACAGCTGTTGTGTCTATGTCCAGACCTGGCCAGAACTAGGGTTAGGTTTTTGGGGGTCCCCTTCTTTAACACATTCACTGATACGTCCAATATTAACATTGGTCAGACTCTCGCCTTTATAAATGCTTCTGGCTGGCTCTAGTTCGACTTTCTATAATTATAATATAGTTATATATAACGAGGAATTGTGGATTCAAAACAGCTTTATTAGCTAATTTGAGGAGGATTCGTTCCTTCCTCCACTTCAATTAACTAACTGTATAAGGTTGTTAGGTTTGGATCAGCTTTTAGCTGGTTGAGTGTAAAATCGTGGTGGTCCCCTAGTTTGTTGAAGAGTTTCAATGGTTTATCTCTTATATTTTTTTTATATTAGTTGATTGTTTTTTTTGCTGTTACAACCGTCGGGTCTCTATAAACTTTTATAATGTGAATTTTATTAGCCGCATCAAAAATATATTACAAAGCAAATCATTTAGAGCGCTTAACTGCAATTATTGTTGATATAAAAAAAAAATGAGTGAATATGATAGCGTATTTCATAGTTGTTGTGTCGGTAACTTTTTATGTAATTTATTTCTATTATAATTAAAAACTTTTAGTTTCCATGAGTAACACTTTTGCGCATATATTGAAATATTCTATTATTTTCGCTAACACCGGTGTGCATCATCATTTCTAAACAAACTTATGTGCCAAAAGCGTCTCCAACATAAACTTGGTAAACCTAACACCCTATCAAAATATAATAGTCAACTTACACAGAAGATATAAGTAAAAAAGTAAAATATAAAAATAAATTCAGTTTTATTATACGAAAACCGCTAAAAGTATCAAACTACTTGATGTCGACAGTGCCATGGCAACAGAAATGTGGTTCAACTAATGCAGTTGATTGTTATTTCGATAAATTACTGAGGCGAAAAATTGATCTACACATCATTATAGAAAACATTTCATGACATTAGTTTATACTTTTCCGCTTCGCACTGTAGTCACAAAGACTTCGACGTAACTACGCCACTACGCCACTACACGTTATTAATCATATGTAGTTACCGCCATACACGGTGGGGCTGTCTTCGCCAAAATACCGTGTGCAAGTAATTTGTGGTATCTTTCGAGTGCGCTATTCGACCTTAGAACGTTGCCGAAGTCGGTAGAACTTTGTGCGCTTTGCTCTGGTGCAGTTAAGAACTTTCTTTTCGCTTAAGGTTGGGGGTGTGTTCTTCGCTTAATACTTTTTGTGCATTTGTGTACGTGGTTGCCATTTATTTTTTATTGCTCAAAAGTGAAACTAAAGTGAAAAAGTTTTTCTTATAATTTCCCTTCACTTGCAGCAATTGATTTTACAAGTGTAATATTTACTTGAGATCCATTGCAACGGTTACGTTTATATAAGAATGGACTCACCAACACCGTCAATTGTGTTCGAAGATTCAAACAACTCAGCAATGGACGCCTGCTTCACTGCATTCGATAAAGATGGGTAAGTTTAAATTTTTCATTATTTTTTTATATAAAAAAAATAAATAAATAAAACGTGTATAATAATAAAAATTTTAATTTCGTATTAATATTGTATGCAGCGTATTATATAATATAACAACACTTCAAGTAAAATACTTGTATAATTTTGTTGCGATAAAAATAATAAAATAAAAAAAATTGAAAAGAATCATAAGATACAAAAATTTTTGTGCATGGAAAAAAATAAATCAAATATTTCTTTCTTAATTGCGAATTAATAAATAATTACTAACAATTAAATTTAATTACTAATTACCTATTAATTACTTATTACTTGGTATATATGTCTGTAACAGTGAAATAAATATATCGGATTGTAACAATATATTTATATATATATATATATATAAAATAATAAAAAAGTTACACTCAAAATAAAAAAAAAATTAAAAATAAAATTTAATGAATGTGTTTAATTAGATAAAAAATTCACGACCGTTTTTTGTTTTAGTTTTTTTTGTTTTATTTAAAAAAATAATAAATTTATATTATTAACTATATTTTTTT